TTACAAGTTTCTTAAAACATATTCCGAAGATGCCGCAACATGCCATTTATTCCAAATAAAGCGTTGGCTGGCAGAAGCAAAAATAGACCTATTTTCACTATTTACATTCCGCCTTGTGCACTAGTCAAGACCAATCCCATTTATTTGGCGAGTTTCGCCCTCAGCAGACTCATGTCAGCCTTGAACTTGGTGGGGGGAACGCCTCTCGCCCCCAGGCCCGTGATGGCGAAGGTCCCTCCCTCGCCCGGCTCAGCAGCCAGCTGTTCCTCCGTCAGGCCGGTCCTCGCGGACGTGACGAAGAGGGTGCTGTAGTCGGGGCCGCCCCAGCACACGGACGTGGTCAGCTGGGCGGGGAGCTCCACCGTGCGGAGGATCTTGCCGGCGTGGGGGTCGACGCAGATCACCTGCAGGAGGAGGAGGAGGAGGAGGAGGAGGAGGAGGAGGAGGAGGAGGCGGAAGGAGGAGGAGGAGGAGGAGGAGGAGGAGGAGGAGGAGGAGGAGGAGGAGGAGGAGGCGGAGGGCGCGGGCGGTGATTAGAAAGGGTTGGGCATGCGTTGGCGGGGATGGTTTAAGGGAGGAGGAATTAGCGAAGCAGGTTTAGGCTGCGCTGGAACTCCACTTAAAGTAAATATGATTCAAGGGAATAGAACTTGATGGGTGTAAAAAGCCTGATTAAATTATAATATAAAAAAAAAACTCCAGTGGTATGTGTGCGTGTCTATTCACACACAAAACATGTACTAATAAACATAGATAAGAATTGATAACGCTTTGTTATACGGCACAGTTAGTCTCTATATATCATGTTCATCATTATAAGCACTGTTATCATCATTATCCTCCTCCTCTTTGTCGCCCTTAACATATTCAAAACATCATCATAATCACCATCACCATCATCATAATCTTCATCACCATGATAATAATCATTATCACCTTCATCACCATCACATCCCACCACCATCATCATCACCATCACATCCCCATCATCATCACCATCACATACCACCACCACCATTCATACCACCATCCCCCATCATCATCACCATCCCATTCTCCATTAACCAAACATCTTTTTCTCTCTAATTTGACCTTTGACCTCCGTGCCTCTGGAGCCTTTTCTGGTCATTAGAAGTTGCCTCGTGTGGATCACACTTTTTTCTTCTTCTTTTCTCTTTTTTTCTCTCTCATTTTCTCTTTCTCTCCCTTCTTTTCCTTCTTTCTCTCTCATTCTCACCACCACCTGCTTTACCTTTTTCCCGTAGAAGTTGGCGACCCACAGGTTTCCCGCCTCGTCGATGCACATGCCGTCGGGGATGTCCTTCTGCAGTCCCGCCGCCTTGTACCCGAGGACCGGGCGCCGGTTGGCTAAAAGAACGATTTATTCGCGACCTGGCAACCCTTTACGTATTGCTAAAGAACGATTTATTCGCGCGAAGACCTGGCAACCTTTTACGTGGAAGTGGTATTGACCTTTTTACTTGTACTTGTATTGACCTGGCAACCTTTTACGTGGAATTGTTGTTACTTGTATTGACCTGGCAACCTTTTACGTGGAATTGTTGTTACTTGTATTGACTGGCAACCTTTTACGTGGAAGTTGTTACTTGTATTGACCTGGCAACCTTTACGTGGAATTGTTGTTACTTGTATTGACCTGGCAACCTTTTACGTGGAATTGTTGTTACTTGTATTGACCTGGCAACCTTTTACGTGGAATTGTTGTTACTTGTATTGACCTGGCAACCTTTTACGTGGAATTGTTGTTACTTGTATTGACCTGGCAACCTTTTACGAATTGTTGTTACTTGTATTGACCTGGCAACCTTTTACGTGGAATTGTTGTTACTTGTATTGACCTGGCAACCTTTTACGTGGAATTGTTGTTACTTGTATTGACCTGGCAACCTTTTACGTGGAGTTGTTGTTACTTGTATTGACCTGGCAACCTTTACCTGGCAATTTACGTGGAATTGTTGTTACTTGTATTGCCCTTTTTTAATGGGAATATGAATTAATTATTACTGGAATTACTTGTATGACCTGGCAACCTTTTACGTGGAATTGTTTGATTGTATTGCCATTTTTTAATGGGAATATGAATGATATTATTACTGGAATTGTTGTTATTGTATTGCCTTTTTTATGGGAATATGAATGATAATTATTACTATTCACCTGAGACTAAATCTTTCATTACTAATAGAATTGGCCTTTTTTATGGGAATATGAATGATAATTATTACTATTCACCTGAGACTAAATCTTTCATTACTAATGGAATTGTCTTTGTATTATAATGTGCAATATCATTTTATTGCCATACAAAGGATTTAGACAAAACTCTAACATATGGTAGACTAAAACCCATTGCTATCAATATAAATGACAACAAAATATATCACCATTAACAGAACTTTGACTGAAACATATCCTTACTACTGTTATTACTATTATCTATAGGTTGTTAGAGTTCTCGATATCAGAGACCTTATGTCGCTTATAAACATGAAAATACTCAAGTTACATTATATGAGATATGCGGTAGTGTGTCACTATAAGGCGAGTTTTGCTTTTTTTTTTTTTAATTGCGCATATACACATAAATAAATACGTATCTATCAGTCTATATATGTATATCTATCGTATAGATAAATAGATAAATATATCTACAGTTTTAACAAAGGTGGTAGGATATATCAAAATATTGTAGCTCGCCACTTGCTAATTACTTACCTGTATAGAAGAAATGGTTGGCATTGTTAGAATTTAATAAACTAGTTAATGTTTATCGTCTCTCGTTTATAAGCAAATGCTACTAAACAAATGCCATTTGTAAAAAAAATAAAATAAAAAGAATCGTGGAATTTCTATTCGTCTCTCTCAAGTCTTTATCATCTCCTCTAGCTAATATACAACAATATCGTCAAATGAAAGAAATTTGAGTAGAACGAATACTATAAATAAGAATCAACAAGAATAAGATAGTCGTGGCTTCGAAATATGAGGAATGATAGAAAGTGGGAATAAGGATGAGCCATAGAAAATGGAATTTCGGACGGGAACTAAAACATTACAGACGAACCAGAAAAAATATGAATGAGGACTAGAAAGATGAATTCTACATTTGCTACGATGACCCCTGTTTATACTCACAAATACTGCCAGTGTTGTCGTCGTAATCAAAGGCCTCGACGCAGTATGTACAGGAATCAATGTAGTAAAAAGTCTTCTTGTCGTGACTCCAAGCCAGGCCGTTCGCTATCGAGATCTGCGAACACGTTGGGTTTGGTGACATGACATACAGACTGAAGGACCTTACTCGGTTTGGGAAATGATGTGAAAGTTTGGAACATTAGTATTGTTCAGGTGCAATATCTTGATTAGTTTTGCTCTGGCTTTATATTAAACATCAGTTATGGACACAACGCAAACTGAAATATACCAGATATTCATGCTTTATACACTCATGCACACACATACATACTTCTACATAAAAATGTACGCACTCACAAACACACACACTTATACATAAATGCAGTACATATATCCATCCATACATAAATAATATATATATATATATATATATATATATATATATATATATATATATATAGAGAGAGAGAGAGAGAGAGAGAGAGAGAGAGAGAGAGAGAGAGAGAGAGAGAGAAGAGAGAGAGAGAGAGAGTTACATATAAAGAGAATATCGAATTCATTTATGAAAATAATCATTCACTAAGCCCCACCTTGTCGACCATGTGGGAGAGCTGGAGGTCGTGGCCGAGGCGGAAGAGCGACCCCTGGTGAAGCCGAGGTTCGCCGGGTGTCGATTCGAACCCCATCGTGCCTGGAAATTACACCGGGAAGGTTCTGTGATTGAACGGTAGGTGCAAATCGTAATAAATATGATGAATGGATTACGTATATATATATATATCTATAGATGTGCAGAGAGCATAATCATCTGGAGTATTTCCGTTTGTGCTTTTCGTGCATCGGTATTTATGCCTTGGAAGCTTCGTTCACGCCCCCCTCGGCAAAAGGGGACGGACGACTTTATGTCCATCTTTCGCGAGACGAATCCGTGCAACTAAGACCAGACGGACTATTTCTTTCTCGTCTTCCTCGTCCGTACCTGCCCAGAGGCGTCCTTGGGGGTCGCACTTGCCGTCGTTGAAGCGGTTCGTGGGGCTCTGGGGGTCGACGGTGTGCAGGACGGCCTCGGCCTTCACCGCGTGTCGGTCCGGGTCCGAGACCGCCCACCTGACGACGGCCAAGGAGCGGCCAAGACCCACCAGGAACAGGTCGCGGTCGCCCTCCACGGGGATTACCAGGGACACGCTGGCGCCCGACTCGTCTGCCTCTGTTGAGTGGGTTATGCGTTACGTGGCCTCCGTTTGAGGAAGTGCTTTCAAGATAACACCGAGAAACTAAACATGAATGTATGTTGATGACAAAATAATCCATATCCCCAACACCTACCGACGTGGAGAACCTGATGCCTCCCCGTCTCCAGGAACAGCCTGTGGACGTCGCCGTTGACGATGTCCACGAAGAGGAGCGCCTTGTCCTCCTGCGACCAGTAGGGGCCCTCGCCCAGCCCTACGGAAGGCGCCACCTGCTTGATCTCTACGCCCGACATTCTCTTCGCCTTCCTCAGGTACCTGGAAGGACACGAAAAGGTCACCACATAAGCAGTATATCGGTTTTAAAAGATATTTATGAGAGCGGCGACGCGTACAATCTCTCTCTCTCTCTCTCATCTCTCACTGACCTTTGTCCTCTCCACTCTCCCCCCCCCCCCATCCATGAGCAGTATATCGGTTTTAAAAGATATTTATGAGAGCGGCGACGCGTACTTCCCATCCAGTGAAATCCTGCAGCGTCTTGAGTTGCCTGTGGGCCAAAGGCCTATGGAAGTACCTTGCTTGGCCTTGGGAGTAGGCGCAGCCCGCGAGATAGGCTCGGTTAAAGTCTACATAAGCAAGGTCTATTTAAGTAGATCTTGTATATAAGTACCTTGAGCTTGACGATCGCCGCGGTCGCTAAATTGAGGGCGTGTTGTGTAATCATCTTATCAAGGCTCATTGGGGGGGGATGGGTGGGGTGGGAGGGGGTTCTAGGGCTTGCCTTGACCGCAGGCACCGGCACCGTACATGGCACTCGCTCTTCTTTTTCAAATGCTATACATTAATAACGCGACTTCACTGTAGGTCTAGAATTATTTAAGATGACTAAAGTAACACAAATGCATCCACTGACAAACAAAACAAACGCAAAAGTGTGGTGATGATTAAAACTATAATCAATGATAATAAAAGAAGAAATAAAGAAGCAAATAGTGAACGAATTACATAATATCCTAGTACAAATTATGATCTAATCATTTGTGCGTTAAATTGTTAAACCCAGCAATCTGGCAACACTGGCCTGGCGCATTATTGACTCCTCCGTCACTTTTAAATTGCAAACTTTATTTTTTATAGAGAGGTATTCGCTACCATGATAATATTTCAATAGGAAATATTATAGCTCATGTAAAGCCTCAGAGTAAAAAATAATAATAATAAATAAAAATAAAAAAAAGTAAAAAACTTAAAATAAACAGTTTAAACATGTTTGATGTTACATAATTTTGGCAGTCACACTAAAAAGAATATTAGTTTATTCCGGTCCTGCTGCTCTCTCTTGCCTTGTCTGTCAATGTTATTTGTACTTGTCGTAGCTGGTTTCATATTGCCATAATTAGCCATCATAATAATAATGGCATTTAAATACAAATATCAGTAATAAAGACTCTTTCAGAAAATCAATGAAAGGGGTTAATAGATTAGATGGCTAGGACTAATAATTCAATTCCTTGATGACTAAGCACTTATGGAGCCATCTGCATGTTTAAACACAATTAATACACAAAACTCACAATCCACATGACGTAATGCCATGGATCCTAACAGAAAAAATTAAGATGCCAGTTAACGGCACCTAAAGAAATCACAACCTGATAAATTGTCATTCCCGCATCTGGAATGACAGATCAGAAACATTTCTCTTAAAATATCACAAGCGACTCACCTAACCAAGAATCACACAGCACTAAAGAGAAGATTTGGGTTGAATTCTCGTCCACAACAAAACATGGCGAAGCAGTTGCCAAATACTTCCACATTCGGCGATGCTACGATAAGACACGATATCGCCAGATAACTAACTTGGAGATGCAAGTTTGAGTACTCATTTGCTGAGGTTGCATTGTACACATTAAGGGAGATTGTATTTGATGATTGCAAGCTGGTGATTCATTTTAGAATATCTTATAAAAATAGATTCATTCGGTGCTAAAATAATGATGTACGATGCCTATCGCCGTGTGCTCCTATCGGACATGTCTGTGTGAAAGGCAGTAAAATGTATTAATTTGCTTGTATGAGAGCGAGCAGCAAGTAAAAAAAAAGAAAAAAAAAACGAGTTTATGAATATACTAAGACAGAAAGGGGAAAGAAACTAAGAGAGACAAAGAGACAGTCAGTTTAAGAGAGGGTGTGTGAAAGCGAGCAAGCGAATAGGCAGAGATGTAGAAACAGGGATAGACACACTCCCCTCTCTCCTTCCCTCCCCCCTCCTCTCTCTCTTCTCTCTCTCTTCTCTCTCTCTCTCTCTCTCTCTCTCTCTCTCTCTCTCTCTCTCTCTCTCTCTCTCTCTGTCTCTGTCCTCTCTCTCTCTCTCTCTCTCTCTCTCTCTCTCTCTCTCTCTCTCTCTCTCTCTCTCTCTCTCTCTCTCTCTCTCTCTCTCTCTCTCTATCAAAGTAAAATAATCTCTCTGTCAAAGTAAAAATTCTCTCTCTCTCTCAAAGTAAAAGAGAGAGAGAGAGAGAGAATAAGGTGGATGAAAATAAAGTAAAAGAAACAGGCCAGATCTTTTCGAACCAAGCTCCCAAAACTAGTTTTATCTCATGGTGATAATGATTAGATTGTTCCAAGCGTCCCATTGAACAACCGGCCACTGCTATCGCTCACGAGAGATCCCGACAGACACCATATTTGGGCAATGGGAAAAAGTAATTGAAAATATGAGCATATAGGTAAGACACCGAATAAGCAGAGAAAACGCATTTTTCAATATATGTATTATTTAAACCCCCTGAACTCGAGAATGATAATGGGATCATTTAATTCGTTTTAGCCAAACTCAAGGTATATAGAACCAAGGTCTACATAAGTACTTATATATACTTATACTTATAAATGCTTATATAGACTTTGTATAGAACTAGGTATTTCCACTTCCATTTAGCTCTTTGAACCCAAAAATTATATTGCCTTTTTCCTTTTTATTCTGACAATTGGTATTGGTAATGGATTTTGACTTTGTGGTAATTAAAACAAAAATTATATTAATAATCATGCATCCAGCTATATCTGATATGCCACAGGGCACTTTCATTGGCTAAATGTGATGACGTCATTTTATTTGATTCGGTTAGTATCTTAAGGTAAGTACTTTTTAAATTGCTCTTCTTTGAAAAAAATGGCCCAGTAATAACAATGGTAGAAATATAAGCAAAAACGAAATGACGAAGAAAAAAGGGAATACAATAAATAATTCAATATTTGTAATGAATATAGACAGAGATTCAGGGTTTAGGTATTGAGTTGCCAACTAGGATTTTCATCAGAATGGAGTGGGGCTGCCTGTTTTAAACTGTCTTGGCTTTACCGATACTAAAAAATTCCAAAACCAAAAGAAAATATTTATGAAAGTTGTAAACATAATTACAGTTGTTATATCTACGGAAGTGATTTCATATTAAATTAATATATGGCCTTTTCAATGTGTTCATACATTATATATTAAACAAGAAAAGGTTGATGTAATATTTGTGTGACGTTTATGAAAAGGGCAACATACATTGTTTTTCTTATCACTTGGATGTTTTCTCTTTTCGACTAATTACATCCAAAGCCTGAAAAGAAGTGCAGCAATGTCATCTTTCTAGTTTCTATGTCTTAATCAAATACAAAGTTAGGTCGATTCTAATCTTTTAAAATCACTTAATTTAAATCCTCTGTTTTTATTCATGCCATTCCTTAGCAATAAGAAGAGAGCAAAGGCGTGTGTTTGTTTCGGTGTGCGTCGATGTCTGGGTATGTGGGTATACGCGGTATGTGGGTGTACGCGTACCTTCTTCCTACTGGTCTATCAGGTTTCTCTGTTATACGCATCTGTCTAATTTATCCGACTAACCATTTGTCACAAGCCAGGTAGCTCCTCCGTGGCGATGGCGCTGAGCAAGAGGACGTTCTTAGGACGAAACAGGGAAATTGCACATGGCCTGTTTGTGGCGCAGGTCCTCCTTCTCCGTCGACGCACGGCAGACGACACGGCGAAAAAGAGTAAAGATACGAAGGCAAGCCATGGTGTCTGAGGATCGATCATGTAAAAGATCCTTAGACGGAACCTTATATTTTTTGTTTATCTATTTATTTATTTTCATTTTTTTAAAGTCCAGGACATGGGACACGGGCAGCTAATCGATATTCTGGAGACTTTAGGCCCCACTTGTCGTTCTGTAGAGTGCGAGACCACAGGTAACTCACTCTGCAGAACAGTGTCTTTCTCCGGAACCTCAAACTCTATTTTGTAGGAATGTTTTCTGGTTCTGTTTGGCACTGTAAGGAATAGAGATGTTTTTTTTTCTCAATCGCTTATCACAGGGGCGGTCGATGGGCCTGGTAGAGCTGGTTTAAATTTCCGCGACACGATTAGTTTTTGTCTTCGCGCTGGATATGGGGAACACGAGGCGAAGGCAACGCGGCTCATCACCCTCTGTCGGCCATTGCTCAGTCGTCTGCTGACACCGGCCAAGTGTTTATGGAATCTACATTATAGTGCCGTCGGAAATTAATTTTGAAATTAATCAGTACGTAATGCCAAGCTGTTATTTTTTATTAATATGCATGTCAGCTTATTCTGCCACTATATCGAGCTCTTGACATTACCTACTAGGCTTCTGACGTCACTAGGTTAAGAGAGGCATAGTTGCGTGAAAGGCGATTTTTTTATGACAGCACTAAGCTGGTCTTCTTTAGTCAGCATCATTTTCCTGTCACTCACGAAGTGAAGAAAAAAAACTGATGTAGTAACAATAAACAGTAATTGATCAGTAAAACCAACCATATCATTGCCACTAACAACGATAACAAGCAGCTAATTATGATCGGATCTGCTCGAAATAACCGGCCTTACCAAGTGATAACCTTAAAATAAAAATTAAAGGATACAGTTATTGACAAGAACCAACAGCAGGTGTGCCTCTCGCGTCACGCTCTCCAGTTCATTCCAGTTCAGTGAGCTTTGCGAAGGAGAGCTTAGGCCAAATTTCGTTCCCGGCTCGGGCTGTTCACCCTCCTCGACGGTCTGAACAAACGAGGCAATGGGAACGGCTTTAACAATGTGGATGCGTATGTTTGGGAATCTGTTACATTCGACTAACATAACAGAAACAAATGGAAGGGAGAAAAATAGTTTATGTAGACGAAACTTTTAAAAGTGCTTTGGGTAAAAAAAAACAAATAACATTCGCAAATATTGTACATAGATTATGTAAAAATACCAGTAACTAAATATAATCAAGAATTGTGTGTGAACTGAGAGCATCCTCTGGTGACTTGCAAGGTCAGCAGTCAGATGCTTTAAAGCTTAGACCGAAGCTGGAATGTTCGGTTAGTTGTTTATATTTTTTTTCTAATGTGCAGCTCATTTATGTATGTCTTTCACCATATGTTTTTTTTTTTTATTTGTGGCTATATCTGTTATCTCTCTCTTCTCTCTCTCTCCCTCCCTTATTCTCTTCTCTTCTCTCTCTCTCTCTCTCTCTCTCTCTCTCTCTCTCTCTCTCTCTCTCTATGCTTGTTTGTCCATATGTCAATCTGTCTGACTGTCTGTATGTCAGTTTATCTGTCTGTCTGTCTCTCTGTCTTTTCCTCTCCCTACTACTCCTCTCTAATAACCCCCCTTCTTTCTCTCCCTGTCTATCTCTTTCTATCATCCCTTCTTTTTTCTCTTTACCTCCTTATTTATCACTCTCTCTCTCTCTCTCTCTCTCTCTCTCTCTCTCTCTCTCTCTCTCTCTCTCTCTCTCTCTCTCTCTCTCTCTCTCTCTCTCTCTCTCTCTCTCATCTCTCTCTCTCATCTCTCTCTCTCTCTCTCTCTCTCTCTCCTCTCTCTCTCTCTCTCTCTCCTTCCCTCTCTTCTCCCTCTCTCTCTCCCTCTCTCCTCCCTCCTCTCTCTCTCCCTCCCTCTCTCTTTCTCTCTCTTCCCTCTCTCTTTCCCTCCTCTCTTTCTCCCTCGTAGCCTCCACTATCTTTCCCTCTTTCCTATTCTTCGCCATCCACTTTTCTCCAACTCTCTCTCCAGGACAGGCTTTTCCCGTCCCTGTAGATGTGGCATTAACCTATTTATTTACGTCTTGTTGCCAGGCCGAGAGGGAGGTTCGGTTCGCGGGCTTGATGCTTCCAGTGATTACACTTCCCGTTCATCCTCACACATAATTTCCCTAATTAAACATATACATCAAATTACAGAACGACGACCATACCAATATTTTTTTTCTATCATAATCGAAATTTTATAAAGTCACATTATTTACATACACACCGCTTACATTCATTGTAACCGCAAATAGAAAACAAACAAATGAATTATAGGCAACTTTGGCGGGTTGACTGGATCGCGGTGACGTCACGCGAACTTGTTTACGGCGGCCAGTCCTTCCCCGAACGCCGCCGAGGAGGGATCCAGCGCCGCTCTCAGGACATCCAACGTCTTTTGGTAAGGATAGTGTCCCTGAGCCGGATTAACTTTGCGGGCCTGGGATTTCGTATCCTGTGAAGGTTGCCATAAAGAGGATATTTTAAATTTATCTTTATTACCAGCTGTAAGAGATGACGCTGACAATTAACGTTTTTTTTTTTCTAATATGCATTCGTAAAGTGAAGTCACTAGGAATTATTTTTGAAATTATTAGTGTAATTTACGCGTAATTATTTTACCACTCCAACTCTAAGTATGCCATTAACATTTAAAGATTGCATTTTAAAACTTATGTTAGCTGAAGTGTGCTTGTATGAAGATTATTGAAAGGTATGCAGTAGATACAGTTTGTATTGCGGCGGCCTGGACCCATCCCTGCCCCCCCCCCCCCTTTTCATGTGGTTTTAAGAGAGGGTTTTTTTTTCTAGTCGGTCTATCATATATAATGTCTTATCTCGACAGTTGAATAGAATTGCTCCTATTGTCCCGGTTGATATAAGAATGATTGTTCTTTAGGAATTCCAAACTGATAAGGGAATTAAAAACTAATACTAATGATAAAAAGTGATAGGATATTATTTTATTGAAAAATACTAACGATTATAACAATAACAATAATAGTAATCAGAAGCGGGGTGTGCCGTTTCGAATGACTTATATATAATAATAATAATGATAATGATGATGAATAATCATGATTAAATGAAAGTAATAATAGCAATGACAACAACGAAACGAACAGAAATATTCACTATAATAGAAGAGATAATGATAATTGCATTAACGATGATAATAATGGCAATGGCAGTAATAGTTCTCGATAAGGCTTTATAATAGTTATAATAATAACAGTATTAATGATGATGGACAAAAGACGAACATGTTTGCCTCAGCCCGGCGAACAGGTCCCGAGGAACAAACTAACGGAAAAGTTCGGCAAAAGGTCGTTGGCTTTTCTTGGGAGCAAAAGTGCAGTTATTATGGCTATTTCCAAAAGGTAATTTGTTTATTTTCCTTTCATTATGTTCACTGATTGATTGCTCTCAGGTCGTTCAGCCACACGTCTCGAGATAAGCAACGGGGCCGCAATTGAGATAAGACTGATATTGGTGACACTGTTGCGTGCGTTGACGTTGGCAAGTTCACTGTCAAGGACTGTGCTGTGGTTTGGGCACGCGCGCGTGCGCACACATGTGCTCTCTCGCTCTCTCTCTCTCTCTCTCTCTCTCTCTCTCTGTCTCTCTCTCTCTCTCTCTCTCTTCTCCTCTCTTCTCTTTCTCTTTCTCTCTCTCCTCTCTCTCTCTCTCTCCTCTCTCTCCTCTCTCTCTCTCTCTCTTCTCTCTCTGATCTCTCTCTCTCTCTTCTCTCTCTCTCTCTCACTCTCTTCTCTTTCTTCACTCTTCTCCTCTCTCTCTGCTTTCGCTCTCCCTCTCTGCTCTCTCTCTCTCTCTCTCTCCTTCTCTCTCTCTCTCTCTCTCTCTCTCTCTCTTCTCTCTCTCTCTCTCCTCTCCTTCTCTTTCCTCTCCCTCTCTCTCCTCTCTCTCTCGCCCCTCTCTCCTCTTCCTCTCCCCCCTCTCTCTCTCTCTCTCTCTCCTCTCCTCTCTTCTCTCTCTCTCCTCTCCCCCCTCTCTCCTCTCTTCTCCCCTCTCTCTTCTCTCCCTCCCCCCTCCTTCTCTTCCTCTCCCCCTCTCTCTCTCTCTCTCTCTCTCTCTCTCTCCTCTCCCTCTCTCTCTCCTCTCCTCCCCTCCCTCTCTCTCTCCTCTCCCCCCTCTCTCTCTCTCTCTCTCTCCCCTCCCCCTTCTCTCTCTCTCTCTCTCTCTCTCTCTCTCTCCTCTCTCTCTCCTCTCCCCTCTCTCTCTCTCTCCTCTCCCCCCCCCCCTCCTCCTCTCTCTCTCTCTCTCTCTCTCTCTCTCCTCTCTCTCTCTCTCTCCTCTCTCTCTCTCTCTCCTCTCTCTCTCTCTGTCTCTCTCTCTCTCTCTCTCTCTCTCTCTCTCTCTCTCTCTCTCCTCTCTCTCTCTCCTCTCTCTCTCTCTCTCTCTCTCTCTCTCTCTCTCTCTCTCTCTCCTCTCTCTCTCTCTCTCTCTCTCTCTCTCTCCCTCTCCCCCTCTCCTCTCCTCTCTCTCTCCCCCTCCCCCCCTCTCTCTCCTCTCCCCCCCTCTCTCTCTCCTCTCCCCCCTCTCTCTCTCTCCTCTCCCCCCTCTCTCTCTCCTCTCCCCCCTCTCTCTCTCCTCCCCCCCCCTCTCTCTCTCCTCTCCCCCCTCTCTCTCTCCTCCCCCCTCCTCTCTCTCTCTCTCCCTCCCTCTCCTCCTCTCCCTCCCCCTTCTCTCTCTCTCCTCCCCCCCCCTCTCTCTCTCTCTCCCCCTCTCTCTCCCCCCCTCTCTCTTCCCCCCCCTCTCCTTCTCTCTCTCTCCTCCCCCTCTTCTCTCTCTCTCCTCCCCTCTCTCTCTCCCTTCCCCCCTCTCTCTATTATCTATCTATCTCCCCCCGACCCCTGTCTCTCTCCTCTCCCCCCCCCTCTCTCTCATCTCTCTCTCTCTCTCTCTCTCTCTCTCTCTCTCCTCTCTCTCCTCTCTCTCTCTCTCTCTCTCTCTGTGTAACCCAGGTATATCTATATCTAATTACTATATGATACATATATATAATCTTACATGTTTGTCACATACGTATCTTCACACTTACATATACATATGCATATACGCCTGACCATTGCTTCCTCTGTTCATTCCTCTCTTCTTGCCTCACCAGACATTAGAATGTTGTGTTGTCTATCTCTTCCAGAAGAGCTATGTATTGTTGTAACGCTTCCTTGTTCATCACCGTCCGTCACATGCTAACAAACGTGACTTGTGAGATCTTTAAACCAGTGTATGGGAGATCAGGCAGACTCCCGGGGAGCCAAGGAGCAACCCCTCCTCCGAGGAGCTGCCGCACTCCAACATCTTATTCAGTAAAGAAGTCAAAGACATCTTAGTTGCCTACCTTAACCCAAGCTCACCATCTACCAAACTCTTGTAGGACCCAACATTTGGGCTCTTACACTCTCTCTCTCTCTCTCTCTCTCTCTCTCTCTCTCTCTCTCTCTCTCTCTCTCTCTCTCTTCTCTCTCTCTCTCTCTCTCTCACTCTCACTCACTCACACACCATACGCACGCGCGAGTAACGTCAGCAGTATAGTGACGCTGACAGGTTAAAATAGCCTTCCCAATGCTGCATTTATTTCAGAATCAAACAAGCCATTTGACAAACACCAAACCAGGCGACAACCCTAAAGGTAACCCCAATACCTGGCCTGACCCTGCCGCCTCGCTTGCAGACCGAGAGAGACCCCCCTGCCAGCGCCCTGCCACGCCCCTGCCAACATGAGTGCCAACGCGAAGGTCGAGCAGCTGCCCGTCCCCTGCATGCTGCTCGGGGAGGGACCGCACTGGCTCGAGGACCTGCAGGCCATCCTCTACGTGGACGTCTTCAGCAAGGCCCTTCGGCGCCACTTCTCCGACACCCGGCCAGCATCAGTCCTCACGCTATTAGGCATCGCGTTGGGGAGGTATCAGCTAGTAGCATCGCGTTTGGGTATCAGTTAGTAGGCATCGCTTGGGAGGTATCAGGCTAGGTAGGCATTCGCGTTTGGAGTATCAGGTAGGGTAGGGCATCGCGTTGGAGGGGTATTTAGCTAGGTTAGGCCATCGCATCGTTTAGGGCGGAGGGGGTATCATGTAGTAGGGCATTCTGCCGTTTTGGGGGTGGGGTATCAGGCGTAGCTAGGGCATCGCGTTGGAAAGTTCAGGCCAGGGTAGTGGCCATCGCATTGGGGGTCGTATCAGGCTATCTAGAGCATCGCGTTTGGGAGGGTATCAGCTAAGGTAGGCTCGCGTGGTGGGAGGGATATCAGCTAGGTAGGGCATCGCGTGGGGGGTTATTCAGCTAGGTATGGCAATCGCGTTTGGGGGGGGTAATTCAGGCTAGTAGGCATCGCGTTTGTGGTTATTCAGGATAGAGGCAATCGCTTTAAGGGGGTGTATTGAGCAGTAGGAATCGCGTTTGGGGAGGTATCAGCTTGAGTAGGGCATCGCTATGGCTAAATTGTGGAGGGTGTCAGGCTAGGTAGGCATCGCGTATGGGGTATCAGGGCTAGGTAGCCATCCGTTTGGGGCAGGGGTATCAGGCTAGGTAGGGCATCGCGTTTGGGATCAGGCTAGGTAGGGCATCGCGTTTGGGGGGGTATCAGCTAGGTAGGGCATCGCGTTGGGGGGGTATCAGGCTAGGTAGGGCATCGCGTTTTGGGGGGTATCAGGCTAGGTAGGCATCGCGTTTGGGGGGGATCATGCTAGTAGGCATCGCGTTTTGGGGGTATCAGGCTAGTAGGGCATCGCGTTTGGGTATCAGCTAGGTTATCGGCTTTTAGGGGGGGGTATCATGCAGGTTAGGCATCGCGTTGGGGTATCAGGCTAGGTAGGGCATCGCGTTTGGGAGGGTATCAGGCTAGGTAGGGCATCGCGTTTGGGGGTATCAGGCTAGTAGGGCATCGTTTGGGGGGGGTATCAGGCTAGTAGGGCATCGCGTTTTGGAGGGTGTCAGGCTAGGTAGGGCATCGCGTGTGGGAGGGTGTCAGGCTAGGTGGGCATCGCGTTGGGGGGGGTATCAGGCCATAGGGATCGCGTTGGGGTATCAGCTAGGTAGGGCTCGCGTTTGCGGGGTATCAGGCTAGGTAGAGCCATCGCGTTTGGGTGGGTATCAGGGCTAGGTAGGGCTAGTTGGGGGTAACAGGCTGGTAGGGCAATTCGCGTTGGGGGGTTTCAGGCTAGTAGGCATGCTTGGAGGGTATCAGGCTTAGGGTAAGACATCGTGTTGGGGGGGGGGTATCAGTGTAGCGTTGGCATTCGCGTTTGAAGGGTGTCAGCTAGGAGCTAGGGCATCGCCGTTTGGGAGGATCAGGCAAGGTAGGCATCCGCGTTGGGGGGTATCATGCAGGTAGGGCATCGCGTTGTGGGGGTATCAGGCTAGTAGGCATCGCTGTTTGGGGAGGTATCAGGCTAGGTAGGGCATCGTGTTGGGGGGTATCAGGTGAGTTGTGGCATCGCGTTGGAAGGGTGTCCAGGCTAGGTAGAGGGCCCAAATCGCGTTTGGGAGGGATCAGGCTAATGGTAGGGCATCGCGTTGGGGGGGGTATTCATGCTAGTCTAGGCATCGCGTGTGGGAGGGTATCAGGCTAGAGTAGGGCATCGCGTTGGAGGGTATCAGCTAGGTAGGCATCGCGTTTGGGAGGGTATCAGCTAGGTAGGCATCGCGTTTTAGGGGCGAGGTATCAGGCTAGGTAGGGCATCGCGTTTGGAGGGTATCAGGCTAGGTAGGCATCGCGTGTAGGGATCAGGCCATAGTACGTGCCTCGCGCTTTTGGGCATCACCCGGTATCACGCAAGGTAGGCGTATCGCTTAGAGAAACATCGCGCTTTGCACGGTATCAGGCTAGTAGGCATCGCGCGAGGTGGGGTATCACACTAGGTAGGGCTTCTTGCTAGGGAGAACATCGCGTTAGGTAGGGCATCCCTCTGGGTAAGGCCTCACGTTCGGCAGGGCATCAGGCTAGGCATGGCACCGCGCTCGGTAGGGCATCATCTAGTAGGGCATCGCGCCCGGTAGGACATCAGGGTAGGTAGAGCTCGCGCCAGGTCTGGCATTACGTTAGGCAGGCGTCACGTTAGGGCATCGTTTTCTGTAAGGCATCAGGCTAGATAGGGCCTCACGGTGGGTAGAGCATCGCGTTGGGGCGTCGTTCTTTGCAGTGTAACAGGGCTTGGAAGGGCATCACGTTAGGGCATTGCGCTTTGTAGGGTATCACGCTAGGAAGGGTATAGCGCTGGGTAGAGCAAGGGCATGCACTTTGTAAGGGCATCAGGGTAGCTAGCTTTGTAGGGCATCAGGTAGCTTGCGCTTTGTAGGGCATCAGGGTAGCTTAGGGCATTGCGCTTTGTGGGGCATCAGGGTAGCTAGGGCATTGCGCTTTGTGGGGCATCAGGGTAGCTAGGGCATTGCGCTTTGTAGGGCATCAGGGTAGCTAGGGCATTGCGCTTTGTAGGGCATCAGGGTAGCTAGGGCATTGCGCTTTGTAGGGCATCAGGGGTAGCTAGGGCATTGCGCTTTGTAGGGCATCAGGGTAGCTAGGGCATTGCGCTTTGTAGGGCATCAGGTAGCTAGGCATTTGCGCTTTGTTGTAGGGCAGGGCAGGGTAGCTAAGGCATTGCGCTTTGGTAGGGCATCAGGGTAGCTAGGGCATTGCGCTTTGTGGGGCATCAGGGTAGCTAGGGCATTGCGCTTTGTAGGGCATCAGGGTAGCTAGGGCATTGCGCTTTGTGGGGCATCAGGGTAGCTAGGGCATTGCGCTTTGTAGGGCATTAGGGCAATTCAGGGCATCAGGTAGCTAGGGCATTGCGCTTTGTAGGGCATCAGGGGTAGCTAGGGCATTGCGCTTTGTGGGGCATCAGGGTAGCTAGGGCATTGCGCGGGCATCAGGTAGCTAGGGCATCGCTAGGGCATTGCGCTTAGCTGCATGCGCTTTGTGGGGCATCAGGCGTAGCTAGGCATTGCGCTTTGTAGGGCATCAGGGTAGCTAGGGCATTGCGCTTTGTGGGGCATCAGGGTAGCTAGGGCATTGCGCTTTGTAGGGCATCAGGTAGCTAGGGCATTGCGCTTTGTGGGGCATCGCTAGGGCATAGGGCATCATAGCGCAGGCAATTGCAGTAGCTTAGGCATTGCTTGTAGCATCAGGGCATGCGCTCAGGGTAGCTAGGGCATTGCGCTTTGTAGGGCATCCTTCTAGGTAAGGGTTCATGCTCAGCGGGGCATGGTGCTAGGTAGAGCATCGCGCAAGGTTGGGTATCACTCCAGGCAGGGCATCGCGCTAGGGCATCACGTCATTGATTTCTCTCTCTCTCTCTCTCTCTCTCTCTCTCTCTCTCTCTCTCTCTCTCTCTCTCCTCTCTCTCTCTCTCTCTCTCTTCTCTCTCTCCTCTCTCTCCCTCTCCCTCTCCCTCTCCCTCTCCCTCTCCCTCTCTCTCTCCCTCTCTCCTCTCCCTCTCTCTCTCCCTCTCTCTCTCCCCTCTCTCTCTCTCTCTCCCTCTCTCCTTCTCTCTCCTCTCCTCTCCCTCTCCCTCTCCCTCTCCCTCTCCTCTCTCTCTCCTCTCCCTCTCCCTCTCTCTAGAGTCATTGCACGCTTGGCGGCAATGGAGTTGGAAGGCTTGAAATACATGAGTGTGCGTGCGTGCGTGTGAGGTGGGGATGCTTTCACGCGTGTGTGGTGTGGGGGGTTAGGGGTGCGTGTGTGCGTGAGGTGGGGATGCTTGCACGCGTGTGTGTGTGTGGGGGGGTTAGGGGTGCGTGCGTGCGTGCGTCCGTGTATTCGTATTAGTACCTTTACCTGCGTCTGTGCCAGTGCTCCATCACACGCCAATTCAACCCCCCCCCCCCCCCAGACGACGGCGGCGCGGCGGAGGTGGTGAGCGCCGTCCTCCCGATCGCGGGCGAGCCGGACCTCTACCTCGTCGCCCTCGGGAAGAACCTGTCGGTGGTGCGCTGGTCGACCTCTGACCCCGACCAGCACACGGCGACCACGAAGGTCATCCAGACGACCACCGACGACCACTTCAACGACGCCAAGTGCGACCCTCGAGGACGACTCTGGGCTGGTAAGTGGGCCGGATGCTTAGGTCTTGTCTGGATTCGTTTTGGTGGTGTGTTTTCGAGGGTCAGGTTGCGTCTGTTGTGTCTTGTTTTGTGTATTTGAGAAAGTACGTGGTTTATCATTATATACGGATCGTATTAGTTATTTGAAGATGTGAAACTCTCTTATGACTGTAGTGATTTTAAACGTTATTTACTTATCCATTCTCTTGTCCATTCTTTTACATCCTTCGTATAAGCCTAAAAACTAAAAAACTTAAAAAAAAAAATGTGAACCCGTTCTGTAAAATCCTATAATTATACACTAATTACAATATCCTCATTTCTCTCATTTTCTCTCCCTTCCTCCCTCCCTCTCCTTCATCTCTCTCTCCCTCATTTATGATTCACATACATTTCTCTCCTGCGTGGACGAATCGCTTTACACTCAGCCTCCCTTCCCTTCCTCAGGCACAATGGGTCCCTTGGATGAACAAGGAGAACTGGCGGAATTCAATAAATCTTCTCTCTTTAAGTTGGACCACGATCTCGTCTTTACTGATTGGGTGAAGAAGGTTAGTTATATATTTTCCTTATTTATTTATATATTTTCCTTATTTTTATTGTCATATTTTGGAATTAGTATTAGTGGTTTTGAGTTTTGATATTTTTTTTCCTGTTTTATCTTTTCGTTATGGGGTTTTGTGTTGTGATATTACCAGGGATCATGGTCTTTTTATTGAAATTACGGTTAGGAGTGTTGGTATCAGTGCATGTAATTTAAGGTATCGGTAGGATAACTACGCACTCGGACGCACGACGCACTCACTCACTCAACTCAATAATACCAACACACTCACTCACAAACACTTCAGCACACGCACTTAACTCACCATCACTTCTACACACACTTCAGTACAAACTAACACATCTGCAAACTCATTAACACTTCAACACTTACACCTATACACGAACTAACACTTCAACACTCACTCAACTCACCAGCACTTCGCACTAAACGAACTAACTTCAACGCACACACGCACACGAATGAGAGCGCCAGAGACCCCCCCAGGTGTCGATCTCCAACGGCCTGGCCTGGAGTCACAGCAAGAAAATTTTCTACTACATCGACTCTCCCGCGAAGGCCGTGTACGTGTTCGATTACGACGACGAAGCCGGTGCCATCAGTGAGTTACGATTTAGAACAACTCGGGATGATTATGAGGATGGCGATAATAATGGGGGGATGATAATGATAAACTACAAGTGATGGTGATAATGATAATGGCGATATTATTGATAAGAAGGAGGATAATAACGCCAATAAGATAATGGTTATATGTATGATTATAATTATGACTAAGATAATAATTGTGATAACGATCGTAAAAAGGTAGCAAACAGGTCAATTAAAAGTACATAAAATCAGCAGACCAAACCACACCCTCTCCCTTCCACCCACGCCCGTTCACGCCCATTCACCGTGCCTTCCTCCCAGGTAACCAGCGCGTCCTGCTGGACTACGAGAGCGCCGGCCTCAAGGACCAGGTGCCGGACGGAATGACCATCGACGTGGACGGCAACTTGTGGGTCGCTTGCTTCGGAGGCGGCCAGGTGGGGCGTGTCGCTTTCGGTTCTGGGAGGGTCTACATCTTTTGATTTTGTTATTAGCCTCTCTAATTCCTTATAATAATCAGTTTTTGTTTCCTTCCATGCATAGATGGATATTTCGTGTTTGTTTCAAAAGTCATGTCCGAATGGCAAACAATATTCGCTCGAAGAATGAGAGTAAATTCACAGAGGAGTCCTGTAGCATATTTTAAGGAAGAACGCGACTAAATTAAATTAAGTCAGGATTAATATCTTGTAAGATGACCGGATAGTTTGCTTTGCGTGTTTGAAAGGCTTTCCTCGTCAAGTGTCTTCTCACCCCCCCCTTGTCTCCAGGTGATCTGCGTGGACCCCAAGGCGGGCAAGGTCATCAGGCAGGTCGCTATTCCGTCCAAGAACGTGACCTCGGTGTGCTGGGGAGGACCGGACTACTCCACGCTCTACGTCACTTCAGGAACCTTAAAGATGTCCAAGGAGGAGGTGGCTGCCAACCCTTCCTCCGGAGGAACCTTCGCCGTTTCGGGTCTGGGCACGAAGGGCCTCCCTCCCGTCGCCTTCAAGGTCGACCTCGAGAAGCTCCGTGCAAAAATGGCTGCGTGAAGGTCTCATCCAAGTAGTCTCCGCTCCGATCCAGTTCCTTTGTTGTCCACACACGTATTTATCATGCATGTCAATCAGTGCCAAAAAGGTTAATTACTATAAACATAAACGTCATCAGGTAAAACAGATCCACGGGTGACAATGATGAAGATATCGTCGCCTTCTGTCATCATCTGGACTGAAGTCTGTATCGCTTTTGTACCGTCCGATAAATTGCGACGTAAAACCGCATTTTAATTCCCACGAAGTTAGAGCAGTCTTCCATTTATCTACATCCATTTGCATCTTTATATTTTGTGTAAGTTCATCTGTTCTATGTGAACATTTATTATAATTGGCATCAGAGACACGTACATGCAAGATTTACAGCAGGGATTTCAAAGTTGAACAATAAAATACCTGTGCATGCACATCGTATATAACGGTTAAAACAAATAAATGTGCTTAAATATAATAAAATCTTCTGGAACTGTATGCAGGAACCTCTTTTTTCTGCATTAACCGAGCACCGTAAGGATCACCAGATTGCTGATTTGAGCATATATACTGGTTCAGCTGAACACAATAACATGAATGGCTCATACAGACTTGAATTTAGACCACTGCATAGTTGAAAAAATACACAGTATGTTATTACATAATTTGTGGAATGCTCACATCACCTTAGTTATATTATTCAGCTTTACATAAAGAAAAAATTATCAAGGACTTCTTTTTTCTTCATCTTTATTTGGATGGCCTGTATTCAGTGCCTCGCTGTATGAGAATAATAAGAATTGAATGTTCAAAAGTCCAGCCATTCTGCATCGTTTAGTCGACCTTGTCACATCAACTAAGAAAAGATATTTTGCTGATAATATATAGCCTTCATCGGTCTGCTCATTCACCAACTAAACCGAATAGGAAAAAATAACAAATTACTTGTTTTATTGTACGTTCAATAAATCAACAATGAGATATCGCGCAAAATTATCCTTCAGTACTTGTACCTCCAAAGTTGATTGCAGAATTGGGGGAAAATATTTTCAGTCATTTTGAAACTGAACTGAGAAACTGAAGCAATTATTAGGTTAATTCAACAAATTCCATAAGTTCCTTCACCGTCTTGTGAGGATCATGTTTCCAGATTTTCATCAAACATTAGAATAGTCTGTCTTGTCAAACCAGTTCAAACCTAACCTATGCTACTCTTCCATTACTTCCATTATAGAACAGCAATCGAAGTTCTAGTTATCTAAATTATAAAAAAAAATCCAAAATTCCTGTTCGATTTCTTTAGTCCAACCTGGCAAGTACAGGCTTTTAAAATGGTTGTAGGCAGTTCATTTTCTAAATATTGTTTAAAACCATTTTAAGACATCTGTACAAAATACACTATAACTTCAGTTTGGTGAATTATGATCATGGTGATATGTATCCCTGAAACCCAGCAGTCACCATCCTAACTTTTAATGTCTCCTGTTTCTTGGCATCACGGGAAGTGTTTTGATGTATAATGGCTAGTTATTGTGGAAACAAGATTTTTGTCTGTTACAGTTATTCAGTAATATGTACATGGTCATTTATGTAACAATTTCTTTTCACTTAATGAAATACAGTAAGACTCTATTTGGAAAAAAATCAAGCAAAGACAACAAATAATTTTACGCTAACTAATCCAATTACCCCTATGAATACCTGAATTAGCCCCAGTGCTGATAGAATCACTTGAGTACATAACTTCCTACTCTTCAGTGTGCTAGGGAGATCCAGAATACAGTATTTGCTTTGCTTTTTCTTCCCAGTTCACAATGACCATTCAAAATAAATGCTGTATCATGAAGTTCTTAGTTATTTAATTAACAGAACAATAGAAAGAGGGAGTGCGGAATGATCCTCTTTCGTTCCAGGACAAGGCAAGAAAGGTGCTCCCTCAAACAAATGGGAAAGCAACTTGAGAACTAAAACTATCAACCATTCATTATATTAAAGGGACTATAAAATCAACTACTTTCAACATTGATTTATTACAAAACTCACATCAATCCCTAATGACCTTAGGGATCACCAAAGCACTGATGATCAATGAATATATACAATGAATTATCCACACACAATTGATGATTTATAAAACGTTGAAGGATAACAATTCTAGAACAGTGTGACACCATTGGCAACTTCATACCAAACTCTCCTCTATACATAAAAGTAGGAATGCCAAAAACACACCATAAATTCTGCAAAATATTAAATAAGGCCCCCAAATAAGCTCTTCTTTTTGCTTATTTCCTCAAACTTCTTCATGTTGAACACCACACTTGCTACCACCTGCTCTGCTGTTTTGTTCTGACCATAGTAGTCAACAAACTCTCCATCAGGATTTATGAGGTAAATGATGATGGTGTGATCCACCTGTTGTAAAGAAAAGTTTAGTTTAGGTCCAAAAGACTAAGCAGGAATGCAAAGATTTCAATAAAGTGTTTGTGAATATATTAATATCAGTTGATCACTTTTCCACATCTTTTTAAAATTCAAATCTATCTATTAATGTCTTTGTTCTTTGATACTCTTGTCAAATTACAAAAGATAATAATATTTACATGTCAAAACTTTTAGGACTTAATTAAGAAGATGAAGATAAGTAAATTAAAATATCACAATCTAAATTTTTGCAGCACTGGTATCATACTCACAATATAATCATCATCATCATCTCTTGGTCCTGCACTAAAGTAAACACGGTATGCTCTGCAAGCTTCAGCGATCTTCTCCGTAGAACCTGTGAAACCTAGCATCTTTGGGTGGAATTCCTTCAAGTAATCTTTGATCAGTTCCTTCGTATCTCTGAAGGGATCCACAGTGATAAACAGTGGCTGAACGTCTGGCACTGTCTTCATTGCATCTGGAAGAAATTGATAAGGTTCCAGATTATATCCTTTGTCTTTCCTCTTGAGGCAATGTGCAAATTCATTCAAAATGTCACGCAAACTATTTATCACCGAACATCTTTGCATCCCAATAAAGCAATCATTCTATACTTCAGCCAACTTACCAACTTCATCCACAACCTTGGCCATTTTCTCAAGTTCATCTGGACACACATCAGGGCAGTGTGTGAAGCCAAAGTACAGCAGGCACCACTGGCCTAAGAAATCGTCACTTGACCTCGGTGTTCCATGGTGATCTATCAACTCAAAGCGACCTCCTATGCTGGCCTTCCCCAATGCTCTCTTCCTTTCACGTTCCTGTGCTGCAAAAAGAGATGACCATTTTCAGTTGCTAAAATCAGGATAGAGAGAAAATAAATGTAAACTTCCATGCTAGTACTGTATTAGCTACCTGGGAATAGTGAAGCTGAAGGTAATTCTCAAGGGAAAACATTTTCTCGTCAATTTCCTTGTGCACAATAACTTAAGAGTGAGAAGAATGTAGCTAGTCTTCTCAATGTTTCTATATTCTTAAATATAGTAAGGAAACTACAAACTTCCACAATATAGTGCCATTTGAGGGAGGATTAGTAACTCCATATATGGCCAATTAACCACTTAACAAAATACCCACTTAAATAATAACAATTTTTATGCTCCTCTAAATAATGATAATAATAAAAAAAGAGAAAAATTAAGCCTCCTTTCACTCTTTTCCTTTTACAAATTCACAAGTTCATTCAATGCACACTGGTCTTATGCTATTTCAAGTATTTATCTATCTACTCTTTAAGATAAATAATTAACCACACACTGATGGAGATTGTAAGGCTATTGTAGCCCCTAGAAATTCACTTGACTTTGTGCTACTGATTTCCATATAGTAATTATTGTAATAGAGTTACGGGGCCTGACTCTCTTCTTCAAAGTGCTTCACAGATCTGGGAAAATCTAAAATTCTAAAATATGTTCAGAAAAAAAATAATGTATTCTCACACCTTGTATTCCTTTGTTATGATGAAGAACTGATTAATATCCTAACAATAATGTGATAAAAATGCATAGTACATAATGAATACAAGAGGTGCCACAAAAACTATCTTATGATAAAGATGGTGGAACACAGAAGTTACAGAAAAGAGACAAAGTTAAGATGTGATGGGAATGAGACAAGAAAAAATGAGCACCTCAATCAGGCAAGCAAGAAGGCTTGAGGAAGCAAGAGCTGTCGCATGAGCCACACCAAAAACAAGAGATGAGATCTGCAATGACTTATAAACCATGACAGATCATTATTTTTTCTTTTTCTTTTTCAAAGGCCAGATAGAAAGCATCTAAGGATTTTACACATATTAGACATACTATGGATGAAGATGATACACAATTAGGATGGATGGAACATTATAAGAAACCTTGAGGGGCAGGTGATGTGACCATGCTGTTATGGGAAAAAAAGGCTCTGGTCTTGGTGACCCGAACTTGCTGTCATGAGAAGAAACTTGCCATGAGTGCACAAACCTCTTGGAGGGTGCTTAGACTCAGTTAGTGTTTAGAAGGAGCTTTTGGATTATTCTTGTAGATAAACTAGTGTAGAGTGAACGGCAGCACAGTTTGCATTACAGAAAATTAAATTTTACAAAAAATAAAAAAAATGACACAAATGACAGAATGTTTTTTCTTAGTACACAGAAAGATGATATGGAGTCTGTGCAAGGGAAACAGTCCATTACCATCTGGATAAAGCATATCCAAAAACAAATATGGACATTGGAAAATGCTCTTTACCGTGACATTGTTTTGGTCAGTGAGACAAGAGATGTTCTCCAAAGAAAGCTGGTGCAGTGGCAAAGAGCACTGTAAGTTCATGGACTGACGAGACCATCATATGAAAAAAAAAATTGGGAGAGTGCCAAGCTATGCGAACGTGCTGTCACACAAAAATCTGGTTGACGTCCAAGGGGAGAATTTCAGAACTTGAGTTGAAGGCTGGGCTGACAGGAATGACTCACCAAAAGGGAACAAAATCTTGGATGGTGATTAGACTCGTTGGGCAATTAGTAAGGGTCTCTTGCATCATTCCCATCAGTAAATGAGTGTGGAATGTACCATCTGTATCGGCCATAACTAAAAAAGTGCCAACTACAGGAGGACACTAATTTCCAAGCTCAAGATCCTATTCCTGGCAACTGTGACTGGCAGTACAGGTTGTATTACAGAAAATTGATTACAATAAAAAAATTAATTATACAAATAACAAATTATATAAATAACAAAAGTTTACTTATTCTTATAATTATTGCAGTAAGTTATGGACTACCTAGAGAGATATGGAGTCTGTGCAAGGAAAAGAGTCTACTACTATCTAGATAAAGTATTTGAAATGACAAACTAAAAAATTGGAAAATGGCAAAAAAAAAATAAAATAATAAAAAAATAAAATAAAAAATAATAATAAAAAAATAAAATAAAAAAATAATAATAAAAAAAAATAAAATAAATAAAATAAATAAATAAATAAATAAAATAAAAATTTAAAAAATGCATAAGAGACAATAACTGCAAAGGTAGGGGCAAGGAGTCTTGACACAGCAAATGAGCGTTCGTGTGCACCCGCCCTTCAAGTCACACACTTGTTAGAATGGCCACTTAAGTAAGCCTATTGCCGCAATTTTGGGTAATGTACGGGCAGCAAATCACCTAGATCCAAGGCGTTAATAGGACAAACATCAAATATTTATGGTTCAAGAAAAACGATAGAATAGGAGACATAAAATCAGGTCAAGAAATGCTTAGGAGAGTGAAGTCCTCTATGTATCTGGGCTTGCATGTGACAGAAGATGGCAGAATGGATGTTAATTATATGATGTGGATCGAACAACTGGAAGAAAACATCAGGAGTGCTACTTGACAGCAGAATGAATATGAAATTGAAGAGTAAGGTACGAAAAACTGTCATTAGGCTGGCAATACTGTATGGAGCAGAAATGCTCCACAAGAGGAAAACAGAAGTAAATGTGTGATGTCACACATTAACTCCTAGCTGACGGGTGGTATGTACGTGCATGCCATGGCTGTTGTGGACCGAAACACGGATGGCATCGTACCATGCCCATTCTCGCGCCACTGGCTCATCGGACGGAGTTTGTTTTTCTCCGATAGGGGCAGCTTCATTTAAATGGTAAAGATTTTAGGCAATGGCATCTATAATGAAGGTAAACCTTCAAAATTATAATATTTTCATAAATTATAGCACAATATAAGCTTTTAGGTGTCAAATGTCGCTCGCAAGCTACTGTTCGAGCCGGGCGCAAACAGGGGAAACTGCCGATGCGTGCCAACAATCCTGTTATTACGCCCACTTGCCAAACATTTTAACCCGTTGGCACTGGGTTAACTGAGGTTAATGTGTGATGTCGCAAGGATAGAAAGGATGGGGAATGAAATGATAAAGAGGAACAGTGAATGTCTAACTAAAGCTTACTAAGAAGACACATAAAAAAGAGAAGGTTATGGTGGTTTGATCATTTAATGATGAGGGATACTGACTATATCGGAAAAAGAGCTATGGAGATGGAAGTACAGGGAAGAAGAAAAAGAGGAAGACCTAAAATGAGATGGAAGGATAGGATCACGAGTGACATGAAAATGAAAACAGAACTATGTGGAGAAGACTAGTTAGAACAGCTATGGTAGAGGAAGAAATTGATCAAAATAACAAAAAAATAGCTGAATAGCAAATGATACATGAAGAATGAAAAAGAAAAGGAAAGCAAAAGTAACAAGAAACAGAAACATGATGAATAAATACTCAAAAGGGAAACTAAAGAATTAATTCTCAAATTGAGTTCTTATCATAACCGTATAAACTTAATAGCCCAAACCTACCCAACTCTTTCTCTCTCCTGATATAAAGCAT